TATATATATATATATATATGCGCCCAGAGATTCGCTTCCTTCTTACGTACGAAGAAAAGAAAAATGTCTGAAATCGTAAAATATGAAACAGAAGAGAGAAAGGCAGTCGCAAACATCACGCGAATATAGTGCGCGTACAAGTCGCTTTTCGCGCAGAGATATATTTGAAACCGTACGCTCTATAAGGACGGAGGATTGAAAATGCAGACTAAGGATTTTCTCGCACTGTTGCACCGGAATCCGTAGCGATCTGTAAGAAACGCGCGTAAAGATTGCGATAGCGAATTTCATGTGGATGTTCGATCAAAATATTCTCGCGCTGTGAAAAAGTTGCAAGTAAAGTAACAAAAAAAAAAAAAAAAACGACTTTTTTGACAAGATTATTTTCCGGCAATGCAACGTTACAGCTCTGGACTCTGAGTGAAAAATAAATTTCAAGGTTTCAAGGTCAAAGAATGTACGAAAAGCCGCGCAGTACGCGTTCCGCAAAGAAGTGTATTATCTCACGAGCAAAAAGTTCATCTCGCAAAGGTAGCTAAAAGAAACATAAATATTGTTAAGAGCGACGACATTTGATAATACTCTGCTTTCGTGTCCGCGAGACATGAAGAGTCCATAAAGGTGGCCGCCGGACAGGCGCGCGGCGAGAATTTAATTTGAGTAATGCTCCTCGAGAGTATACCTACCTGCCTGGCTTTGTAGTATCCGGCGTACGGACACTGTGCACATTCTGTCCACCCTTCCGAAATTACATCGCCGTCGGTCTTGCAATTCGCACGTATATTTTTATACGGCCGCGTCTATATATGCGCTCCGAGCCGGCGAGTTGGATTGGACGTCGCTGGACGTCGTTCGCCGTTTATACGGTATTTAGATAACTCCACCCCCCCCCGTCTTCGTAAATTGCCAATTAGCCTTTTACGGCCGAACGCGAAGCTCTCGTCTTTCCGCCTCGGGCACGACGACAACGACAACGATGACGATCGTAAAGGACGTAAAGGAAAGAAAAACGTTAAAGGATAAGGACGCGACGCGACATATGCCGCAGTTTATTTCCGCCAGGCCGTCTGCGACTTTTCACATCTGTTCCTCGCCGGAAACCTTTTACCGCGCCTTTATGCCGCGCCGGGCGAATGGCCGCGAACCGCGCACGTCCACGTACGTTTCCCTGCGAAACGGACGGGGTTTCCGCCGAGTCATCGAGCGATTGATTTCGACTATATCCGATCATATTAGACGAGGAAACATTGTAGTCTCTGAGCGAGCAGTTGAGCGTGCGATGAGGAAACAAGGAACGCGCGCGAAAGCAGGAAGAGCAGAGAGATAGTATCCTCTGGAGTTGCCAGAAGCCCCCTTGATTTCCGTAATTTGCGAAGTCCCGGGGAACCGACTTAACCGTAGTAGATGTTCGATAATGAAATTCGACCAGGCGTGTCTGAAGAGAGAGAGAGAGTAAGAGAGAGAAAGTGAGAGCGAGAGAGGGCGGAAGTGCGGAGAGAACGGAGAAAGATGGAGTGGAGAAGCGATATCGGAATATTTAAATGGATAGATCATGCGCGTCTGTTGTAAGAAATTTAGATAATTCCGTGGATTCTGGTACACTGAAAGCCCTTAATAACAGTAGCGCCAAAGTGAACGTTTAGACTTCGTAAGAGACTTTGTAAGAATCTGGATTAAAGAGAGGGGAGAGACATTAATATTTATGAAGAGCGCGTCAAGTGGCCCGAATAATCCGCGGTTTCATCGACCTCTGCTCTATAGTATTAAGCCGTCGCGACAAAGTAAGAGAAGAAAAGTTGGTAATTATTAAACTGATAAGTGCATTACTTTATATAGCGCACGTTGAAATTTACCCGTCGATATAAATCAATATATCTCTTAGACTGTAATCCGAATTATTTTTTATATCTCGTTGTTCGACACATCAACGGATTTTTTTTTACATCTCGAAAAATTATCTTTCTTTAGAATCGCCGTCGTTATTCAACATAATTGCGGAAAATAAGCGTTATATGAGTTTTTTTATGTCTATATAAAAGTTATAGCACTGATTTCGTTGTGATGCATAAAATTCTCGATTTCCGTTGACCAAAAGGGCGACGAGAACGAGTTTGAAACGACGCTCTCAAACTTCGCAACTGGAGCATGAGAGCAGCACGCCCAGAAATTCACGACGGGCTACAAACGGGGAGGTAATAATAAGGACGGGCCCGGGTCTAGTCGAGACGTTATACGGATATATACGCGCGGCGCGTATACACCGCTCGTGTATAATAATTCACACAGATACGGAGCGTGGATATACGTGGTGCAGAAGCGGCGCGTAGCAATATCCATAAAAGGGACCGGAGGATGTAATATTACTGGCATCTGTGCCCTGTGGTGCAGAAGTATCGCGAGGAAGAGGAGAGACGACGGGTGACGACGACGACGAGTCCGAGACGTCGACGACTGCGAGACGTTAAAGCTTGTGAAAGAGAAGAACAAAAAAAAAAAAAATAATAATAATAAAATTTAAAAAACGCAGCAAAAAAGTGATCTGCGCGAGCGGCACCACCTTCTCCGCGGAGAGAACTGCGTAATGGATGCGATTTCAGAGCTTTTAGAGCAATTGTGGACGAACGAGCGAGCCTCGAGTCGCGCGATTCGTGAAATCGCGAGGGTTTGAGAAGAAAAAAAATGCCCTTCTCTCTCCCTGAATAAATCGTTTTTCGACGCGTTTCGAATACAGTCTCCAGATCCCTCCTCTCGGTCTCTTCGATCGCGCGGCAGTCCTCGCCGTCGCTGGGGCAGAAGGGCAGTAAAGAAAATCTGTTTCGCCTTTTTCGGACGGCCTTTCGGCTACGCGACTTGTTTCCCGAACTCCGCAATATATATTTCCACGAGAAGTTTTCTCACCCCCCCCAAAGCACGCGTGACGTATCGTTATGAATCAGAGTCCCCTTCGGGGACAGTTTTATCCGCTTGCATCGTTATTAAAGGTAATCACGCCGGGATTTCTTGACGCGAGAAGTTCGGGACCCGTATAAAGCGGAAGTTATTGGACAACGTTAATCCTATCGCCGCAGAGCCCAAAACAATGACGGGTTATTATCATTAATCCGCATGCGTGCGACACGGGATCAATTAATATATTACTATGTTGCTATAATATTATACAGGAGCGAAGAGATTTTAGAAAATGTGAAAGACATTTTTTTCGTAAAAAAAAAAAACTCGTTAATTCATCGTTTCGACACCTCGACAAATTCGTTAATCTCGTCATTTTTCCGTAATCGGATTAGTTAAAATTCTAGCTAAGAGAGAAGCGGAATTTGCATGTAGCTCTCTTTCTGTAACAAAGCAATTTTGTCCTTTATATAGTTTAATAACGTCTTATGGGTTCCTGACGGGTTTAATATCCTGAAACACTTTCATTTCATGGACTCCGGAGAGCGTGAGACACCACCACGGTCATTGAACGCGAATTCTCTAAGGTCTCTTGATTCGCAGCGATGTGACGCATAAAATCAGAATTGTGTGTGTGTGTGAGTGGAAAATTTATTTCTCTCCCGGCGATTTTAAATATTTTAGTAATTGCGATGCATCACGCGCGCCATATACACGAATATTTCAAGCTAAATTGAAAAGAAACGCGTCTTTTTCCTCGCGTAAAGTATCTACATACATAATTAATCAGAGATACGTAA